TGGGCAGTGGGTCTTGGGCCGCCGTTGGAAAGCTGTTCGGTGACTGTGGTTCACCAGCATAGCCAGATGGAATTGCTGCTAAACTGATCAGCAGAAGAACTGCCGAGGAAGTGGCTGATTTCATCACACACACAAAATTAAGCAAGTGATGATGATGAAACCAATCAGAAGGTAATGTAAAAGCGATTTTGGGAAATTAGTCAGAAAGTAGGCTTGTTAGGTAGAGGACTTCTTTTAGAGCTGGTGATGACGGCGGCTGATCAAAGAGAAGAAGAAGAAAAAAAAGAAGAACAGTCGCTGAACACTGAACGGCTGAGAAGGCGATCAATGTTGATTCTCAAATGACTGAAAGAAAGAAAGGCAGCAGCAGCAGTAGCACTTCCTCAAATGCAGCAGCAACAGCAGCAGCAGTTCACAGGGCAACCCTCTGTCAGTGGTGATGACAGGCAAAAGACGAAGAACAGCAGACAGAGAAAAGAGAGGGAGAAAGACAAGACAAGACAAAACAGGAAATGAACGGAAAATGTGCTGCACCGTTAGAATGAATAGAGTGAGGGGCACAAACGAACACACACACACACACATCTATTCACCGTGAGAAGAACCGAGATGATAGCTGAGAGAGCTGGCCAACCGAAGTGGCCAGCAATACCTGTCAGTCAGTCAGTCACACAGAGTGGGCACACACACACACTGGACAGACGGGTCTTTCATCACCACAGCATCAGCAGCAGCAGCAGCAGTGAACTTGACCTTCAGAGGGTGAGGAGAGGAATACACGGGTCGAACGGCAGTTCAGCAACTCAGAGCTGTCGTAGACGAGTTGCGGTTGGCCAGTGCAAAGATTATTGCCAATAATGATGCTGATGCTGATGCTGCTGCTGTTTCCATCGCCTTAGTTAGTCCGCTGACCAACTGCTTCGTTTGAGAGAAGGAGAGAGGTGAAGAAAGACACAAACTCAAATGTCACTAATCCGATACTGCCCATGTCTTCAGGTTTTACCGGCAGTTCGTTGTTGCTTTTCACACTTTGAACTTTGAGTCAATTAACCGAACACCCTTCGAGTCGCTTTTGTTACTTTGATTTTTTAGCAGCCTAGGTAATGGCATTCAGTTTATTAGCAGCAGCCTGAGAGCTACCTCCTCCTCCTCCTCCTCCTCCACTACCCACTACTCCATTAGAAGTACGATTTCGATTGAGTCTTTTTGCCTTGCTGCTATCAAAGAGCATCTCCGAGGAGGAGGCGTCACTGTCGACCTGCTGCCGTCTTTGCTGCTGCTGCTGCTCATCATCGGTTGAAGAGTTGGGCGTATCAACAGCAGCAGCAGCAGCCACCTGTGTCGTGGCGACCATCTCCACGTTATCACACGAGTCGATGAGCATGTAGCGAAAGCGATTGGTCCGCTTAGTGATCTTCGATCGCTTTCGACCACTTCCTCCACTTTCACCTCCACTGGACACGCTGTGATTAAAGATGCCACCACCACCACCACCACCACTTCTGCCATTGTGATAAGTTGGTTTTTGGTGATAATGGCGATGATGATTATGGTGGTGACTGCGACCCGTCTGGAGGAGGAGGTGCCGCCTGGAGAGCAGACAGATGCACAGCCAGAGGACGACGGTGGCGCTGAGGACACAGGCCGAGCAGATGATGATCACGTAGAGGATGCTCCACTCTAGAAGTTAAAAAAAAGATAAATTAGAAAAAAAAACTCCCAAACCTCCTTCTCTTCCATTCATTCCCCCACTCACCACAATTACTCTGATTATCTCCAAAGTAGACGCGCAGCCAGTTCTCCATCCAGAAGGCCTCGCACATGCACCGCCGGCTGTAGGGGTCGCAGCTCCCATGGCCGGAGCAGTCGTTCTGGCAAACTAAAAGGGTGAAAAGAGGTGTTAGAAAAAAAACTATCACTAAAACTTCTTCGGCACACTTACCATAGGACTCGACGGTGATCACCTGCAGCGACAGCCGCCCCGGATCGACCTTCAGCGCCCCCCTCACCGCGCGCACCACCTCGCCACTGGCCAGCGTGTTGCCATTACTGTCGGCGGCCACCGCCAGCAGCACCGTCCGCCGCTGCCGCGTCCGCTCCACCGGCGCCGCCGCCCTCACCCGAACCGACGCCCCAAAGCGCTCGCCCAGAATCGCCTCCACCCGCCGCAGCACCGTCGCCTGCTGCTCCGCAGTGAAGGAGGCCACATCGTAGTTGAGCACCAGCTCCACCACCGCCAGCACGTCGGCTGGCGGGCGGACGATCAGTGAAACGAGGTCAGAGGCGGAGGCCCCGTGGGCGTCAGTGACCGTCAGCTGAAAGAGGTAGCGGCCCGGCACGGCCAGGCCGCCCAGCCGAAGCACCGGCGTCAGCGAGCTGTTGCCCAGCACCTCGCCGTAGGCCAACGACCGAGGCATCCGCTCCCACCGAAAGGCGACAATCTCCGCGTCGTCGTAGGAGGCGGAGCCGTCCAGGACCACCTCGCTGGTGGGCAGCGTCACCGTGCGGTCGCCGCCGCCCACCGCCTTCGGCGGAATGTTCCGGTCCTGAATTACCGTCACCGTCTTGAAGGCCGTCGAGGATAGGTTCTTCACGTCCCACACCGTGAGGGAGAAGTTGTAGCGCCCGGGGCCGACCAGGCTGTTCGGGGCGATGCGCGCCACCGAGGTGTTACTGTCCAGCAGTGTCAGGCTCTTCGGTCCTGGGGGGAGGGGGAGAAGAAAAGTTAAAGTCAGAAATTTTACCCTAAAAAACCTTTCCTCCCCACTTACCGTCAATCTGCAGCCACTCCCAACGAACAATGGCAATATCGTCCGCCGACTTGCTCCCATCCAGCAGCGCGCTCTTCGGCGTCAGCGGCAGGCGCAGCTCCAGGTCGCCGCCGGCGTCCGCCCTCGGCGCCTCATTCGACTCGGGCTTCACAAAGACGTGCGTCTCCGCCCGCGACGACTGCCCGCTGGTGTCGGTCACCTGGAGGACAAACTTGTACACGCCCACCTGCAGGTTGGACAGGTGGAGGTAGGCGGTGGAGGTGCCGTCCATGTCCACGGCGGCGGTCGAGCCGGAGCCACCTCCGCCGCCGCCGCCTCCAGGGCCACCTGAGCCAGAGCCGCCGGAACCTCCCGAGCCGCCGCCCCCATCGTCCGCCCGTGACCACTGCCAGCTCTCGATGCCCTTGTCGTCGGTGGAGGCGCTTCCATTCAGTGTCACCGAGTTCTGCGGCAGGTAGACGACAATGTCGGGGCCGGCGTTGGCCACCGGCGGGTAGTCCGCTTCCTTCAGCACCGTCACCGAGGCAGTGGTGGAGTTGGTGGCGTTCCGCGAGTCGGTCACCGTCAGGTTGAAGACGTACAGGCCGGGCGTCAGGTCCTTCAGGCGGAGGATGCTCGAGTTGAGGGGGAGGAGGTTCTTGTAGCCGATGGGCACCTTGATGGCCGCCCAGTCGTAGCGGACGATGGTGGTGGTGCCGTCGGCGGCGTCGGGCGAGCGCGAGGCGGAGCCGTCGAGGACCGCATCCTTGTTCGGCAGCTGCACCGTCTGCGCGTTCGGCTCGATGACGACGATGGGCGGGCGGTGGTGGGCGGTGGCCGGCGGGAGGACGGTCAGGCCGACAGTGGCGCTGCCGCCGTCGTTGGGCTTGTCGCCGCCGGTGACCGTCACGCGGAAGGTGTAGTTGCCCGGCTTCAGGTGGGAGACCCTGGTGAAGGAAAAGTTTAGCCTTAGTAAGCTTGAGAGTTCTATTTTAGCAAACACACTACTCTATACTCACTTGACCTGGTCCTTGTTGAGGCCCTCGATGTTGCCAATGTCCACCTGGTTCAGCGGGTAGACCAGCTCCCAGCTGTACTTGTAGTTTTTAGAGTCGGGCAGGACGAAGCTGGTCAGAACTGCCTGGTCCACGGGCAGCTGGATCGTCTGCAAAAGAAAGTTGAGGAAGTTATCATCAAGCAAAGGAAAACAAAACAAAGAACTCCTACCTGACTGGGCCCCGCTGAAACGGTGAGTTTGACTTTATCCGCCGGAGCTTCGGCGTTTGCGGTTTGACGCTAAAGAGAACATCGTGTGGTAATAAACAATGTGAGACATGAGACAGACTTTTTCATTGCCCTTACCTTGCTTCTAGAAAAGTGTGACCATTTCGAAGTGACCTTTGAGCTTTTGTAGTTATCACTTGAGGAGTTATTACTTCTATTGCACTTGTGGACTTGGCAAAGCTGTTCACAGTAGGACACTGGCACCAGTTGAGGTGTTTGGCCTGAGGGGTAGAGAAATGAAAGAAAGATTGTACTCCTTGGATTTCGAGAACATTCAGCAGATTCAAAAGGAATCTTACCATCATTACTTTGGCTGAAAACAGACGCATCACTGGCGTTCACTGGCCTTGGGGGTGAGGAAGATAGTAGTAATACTAGCAGACTGGTGAAGACCAGAAGAACGGATGTTCTTGAACACAGACTAGAGAGGTGGTGGTGGTGAATCGTCGAGAGAATGTTTTCGTGGAAGTGGTGATGAAATGTGGTGGCCATTCTTGGGCCTTGATGTCACTTTAGAGTTGTTGTTGTTGCTGCTGTTGCTGACTGTGATGGTGGTGGCCTTCACTTCATCACAACATCACGTTTCTTTCACCATTCCTCATCAGTGATCACTGATTGGCGATGAATTGATGATGAATGTTGATGACGGTGGCGACAGTGTGTGATGATCACATCAGTGGCAACAGACGCGCAGCATTGTTGCCACTGAGACGGTCGTCTGGTCACCCTGGTTGCAGTGCATCACTGATGACCCAGATTAGATTATCATCATCATCTTCATCAGCAGCTTTGGTCGTCAAAGTTACCACCAAATAATCAGCAGCTCTCCAAAGCTTTTTCTTCTGCCGAGAAATGTCATCAACGCTGGCCACGGCGGCGGCGGCGGCGACTGCGCAATCACTGTCAAAATAACCGCGGCGTTTGTTTTGATTTCAAAAGCTATCAAAATAAAAAATCTTTTCCTCCTTTTTACTCGATCTTAAAACTCAATCATCTAACATCTATTTCTTTACATTTTCCTCTAGAGCTGGGGAATACGAGAAAAAAGATGCATTACCATCGGATCAGGCAAAAAGAGGCATTCTGCGTGACTTGCAAACTCGGCTGTTCCTGGAACAGAAGCAGCAGCAGTTGGAAGCATGCGCGTAGCAGGCGCTTGCCGCCTTGAACGCGTTGCGACGGGAATAATACGCGTGGATGGATCGTTCCAACAGCCGCAGCAGCAGCAGCACTGCCATCAGCTGCTGTTGGATCGTCCCAAAGCCTACCCGTGCAATCGGGTGATTCAGGATCGCCTCTTTCACTCGGTGTGCCTCAGTTTCCATTGTGGTGCTTTCTTTTCTTTTCTGGCATAGCGACCATTCTCCTGGTGTCCACCATTAGCAAATTCTTCTGCTCTTGGACCAGCTCGCCAATGGACCAGCTAGCTCGAAGCAATCCATTTCACGTTGATGATGGTGACGATGTCGATGACGACTACGATGATCTTCAGCCGGACATTGCCACCCCGACCGCCTCTGCCGGTCATCATCACCACCATCAAACGATCATGACCGCCTCCTATGACGAGATCGAGGCCGCCGAGGAGGCGGAGAAGCGCACCATGGAGGACGTCTCCAAGATGAAGGAGTGGGTCAGTCTGAAGCTGAAGGAGCTGGAAGACCAGAACCAGCACCTGAAGGAGGAGAACCGGAAGTTCAATGAGGAGCTGGCGAAGCTGAAGCAGTCCTGCCTCATCACTACCAACACGACCACCACCTCCACTCCTGCCACAAGTACTTCAAACGAGAAAAACAGCATCAAGGCGACGCCGACGAAGAAGAATAAGAAGGCCTTCACACCTGAGGTCAGTCGACGGCGGTTTCCCTCCAGCCGAACAACGCCCCATGATCAGCATCACTACCAGAACAGTTTCGAAATTCAGCAGCAACAGCAACAGCAACAACAGCAGCCTAGCAACTTCCGCCAGGGCTTCGAGTCGGCCAGCAGCCAACGGCGTCCACAGCAGCGGCAGAGGCGGCGGCGCTACATCTCAGTGGAGAACGTCGTCGACGGCCGACGTTCAAACTCCTCAAACAGCTCCTCTTCAACTTCCTCCTCCGCCTCCTCATCCGCCTCTTCAGACGATGATGATGATGATGAGTTCTTTGTGACCAAGTCCCGTTACGCCCGTCACCTCAAAGCGGCGGCGGTGGCCTCGGCGAGCCATCACTCCCGCTACCAGCACCAGTCGCCGACGAGAAGCAGAGCTCTTCGAAATGCTCAGGCTCAGGCCCAGGCCCAGCCGCGAATCGAGGGCGCCCATATGACGCTACTTTCAGGACACTCACGACAGCTGATCGGTAGCGCCAACTGCGCCGCCAATCGAACCGGCAGCCTGGATCGCAAGCTGACGCGAATGAGGCGGCTGAACTTTACGGAGATGAAGAGGCAGCAGCAGCAGAAACATCAGCAACAGCCGCCACAGCATCGCCCGCATCGAGGTGAAACAAAGCAGCAGCAGCAGCAGCAACAAAGGAAACAACAACAGATGACTACCACTGAACTTGAGACCACAACNAGCATCGCCCGCATCGAGGTGAAACAAAGCAGCAGCAGCAGCAACAGCAACAACAAAGGAAACAACAACAGATGACTACCACTGAACTTGAGACCACAACAGCAGCAGCAGCATCGCCAAAGACAACAAAAGCCGTCGACCATGAGGTGAGCATCTCGTCGAAGCCGCCCACGCCGCCACTGCACCGATGTCCATCTTGGGAGTCGCGCATCTACGAGCTGGCCAATCAGGGCATTCGCAGCGCCATTTCGACGCCTGTCGCCGCGGTGAAGCACTTTGCGGTTGGCACCAACACGACCACAACCACAACCACTGCAGACAGCAATGGCAATCATAATCACCACCACCACCACCAGCAGCACACTTCAGCCACGAATGCCTTCTTTGGAGACGGAGAAGGGAGCAGCTCGCACCATCTTCCCCTTTTCAAGAATATCAACGGCCGTTTGGCGAAAATCCCAAACGCTTTCACTACCAACCACAACCACAACAACAACAACAACAACACCTCTCGCATGACCGCCTCCTTTGACGAGAACTGCAGCATGTCCTCTGAGGCTGATCTGCTGTTCGAAGAAGGAGGAGGAGGAGGAGGAGGTGGAGGTACTGAGCAACAAAGCGAAGCCCTCTTCACCACCAGCTGCCTACAGCAGACTTTAACTGCAACTTCAAACCACTACCTGAACTGCCACAACAGCAACACCTCCAGCGGCAATGAGAGCGACTTTCGGCCGCTGGACCTGGAGCAGGTGGACGATGCCATCTCGCTGGAGGAGGAGGATAGTGATGACCAGGACGACTACGCACTGCCGCCGGACGCGATGGTGATGGTCAATGGCAGTGGTCTCTTGAGGGAGGAGGAAGAAGAGCGCCCCAAAACGCCGCAGCGAACCGCCTCCACGAGGGCTCCTCCTCCAGGAACTACATTTCCGGTCAGCGAAATGAACAGCATCGTGAAGCCTTCTCCGGTAGGCGAAAAGTGCGGCTACCTGCTGAAGCTGTCCGGGAAGGGCCGCTTTGTGCGCACCTGGAAGCGCCGGTGGTTCGTGCTGAAGGACGGCGGCCATCTCTCCTACTACCGCTCCGAGGAGGCCTACCAGAAGGGGGAGGCGCCCTCAGCCAAAACGGCGACGCCCATCCTTCTCGAGCCGAGCTCCGTTCGGCTGCACCGACCTGAGACTAAAGAGAGCGATTTAAAGTCCACCTTGGCGAACACCTTTCAGCTGCACTACAGCGTCACTGAGGAAGAAGGAGGAGGCGGAAAAAAGAGCTCGAAAAAGAGTGAAAAGAGCAAGAAGAAGAGGAAGAAGAAGGTGCTGACACTGTCCGCCGACAGTCGCCAGACGCTGGCCGACTGGCTCCGCCTGCTCAACCAGACGCTGACGGCCAATGGGATCAGCCGCCTGCTGCAGGCCAACGAGGGGGCGCCGCCCTCGATTGAGGGCCCGCTGGTGCGCGTCCGCTTGGGCGTGTCCACTCGGTTGTGGGCGGCGCTCTATGGCCAGCACCTCGTCTACTACCTAAGCTCCTCCTCCTCCTCATCTTCAGCTGACAACAACAGCTCCTCTTCAAAAACTCCCATCGGCTATACAGCCCTCAAGGGCGCCAAAGTGCAGCAGATTGAGTCCTTTGAGGGGGAGGAGATGGGCCCGCCCAGTTCAGCTGACCACTCTGAGCATGCCACTCTGAGGATGAAGAAGGACCACCTCGGCCTTGGAAATCGAACCGGCACCACTCCACCGCCTTCTCTGGCCACTCCCACGCTGACCATTTCAATCCATGGCGCCGACAATAGCTGCGAACCGGTGTACCTCCGTCTGGCCACGAAGCAGCAGTGCGAGCAGTGGGCGTGTCAGCTGAAGCACGCCGCCTCGCCCTCCTTCACCCCGGTGAAACGAGCCTCGCCCTCTGCTTCGAAAAAGATGACCGCTTTTGAAGAAGCATTGGGCGTGCTTCGCAGCCTCGAGGCTCAGTGCCCAACAGAGGAGTTCTACTCCAGCGCCGCCTGGAACGCCCCCGCGCTCTGCTACAGTGAGGAGGCGAGCCTGGTGGAGGCGCTGACCAGCGCCGCCGACTGTTCCCAGGCGCTGAAGCTCTTCAAGGCGTTGCAGCTTTTTATCTCAGTGCCGCTGGTGGAGGTTAATTTAGGAGGCGGGGGCAATGCGACGCTAAACTCCCCTGCCATTGACTACCACGTCGCCCTGGCGCAGAACGTCCTCAAGATGGGCCTGGAGGGCGGGGCGGCACTGCAGACGGAGCTGCTGCTGCAGCTCATCAAGCAGAGCAGTCCGGAGGGGCGGCTTCGCCGGCAGGTGCTGCTGCTGCAGAGCTCTGGGGCTGGAAGTTCAGTGACTACGACCTCCTCCTCTTCAAACAATGCCAGCACCAGCAGTCCATTTCACCTTCGCCAGCTGCTCAGCTGCGCCTCTGCCACTGCGGGACACTCCTCCTCATCGGAAAAATCTCCACCCTACTCTTCTGGCGAGTTCAGCTCAGCTTACCCTGATGCTTCCGGTGGCCTTTCACCCTCTGATCGTCGCAAATATTCTGCCATCTTCGTGCAGGCCTTCCAGCTGCTCGCCCTCGCCATCTCCATCTTTCAGCCGCGCGGCTCGGCGCTCTGGCTGCTGCGCCACCACCTGAAGAGGTGCAGGCAAACGGGTGAAAACCTCGGAAGCTCCGAGGTGGGCCAGCTGGCGGCCTACTGCGAGCGGGCGCTGGCCCGGGTACTTCAGCGGGGCGGCC